AAAAAAGAAACGAAATACCCCTACCCCCCTCCACGCCGAACCATGCAGCAGTGCACTATGTTAGAGCTCAGAATCGTGAAGGTACTCCCATTAGTGAGCTCCACCCTCTGACTCGACACAATGTAGTAATTCTACGTCAAAAGTTTGACCTAGGTGAAACTGTCGCTTTACAACGGCGTAAAGGCATCGTCTGTCAGTAAAGCTGTGAGGGTACGAGCGCCCCTGGTGGCGCAACGGATACGTAGTCCGGTAGGCGTAACGTGCAGGTTCGGGGCCCGCCTACTGTCAAGTTTTTGCCCATAACTAAGCAGCAACATTTGTAATAACCACTCTCACCCTTAGTAGCACCGCTTTCGTCGCGCAACGTAGGCCTCTCAACGAACTCCGCACTAGCCCCGGCAATCAAAGGGGTTATAAGGTATCTTGAGCTTTGACACGAACCTCACGATTACAGTGCTGATCAATTTCTTCTTGAAGATTCTTCTGGACCGAAGGGTGTTTAGCCAGCAGATGGGTAGCAAATGCCAAGGAGGTGGCGGTGGTATCGAAACCTGCCAGAAGAAACACGAAGCATTGAGCGGTAATTTCCTCCCTGGTCAAATGCTTCGACACCTAGAGAGAAATTGAGAAAATATGATTTCCCATTCATAAAAGCTACAATGGTTGCTGAAACCTTACTTGAACTCCTGTTTTCGAGAACTCTGCCTTGTTGTCAAAATCTTGCTCGGCTCTTGCGTCCAAAAACAGGTCTATGAAGTCTGTCCGCTCTTGTGATGCTATACCTTCTGCGGCATTTTTGGCCTGAAGAGTGTACAGTTTTGTTCCCTGGGGCCGCTGTTGCGTTCAGGGGTGAAAGGTCGGTGGGTTCGGCGCGGCGCCAGCTAGCTTTATACCAGTTGCGAAGAAGGTCTCCGGCGACCACAGTTGGTGAAGAGATAGCTGGCGTCGCGCCAAATCCAACTCCTCCGCCCCTTCCCCCTGAAACGCTCCGGCGCCCGAGGCCAACGAGACGGTAGACAGAACTCTGTGGTGTTATTTATGAGCTGCACTCAAGCAAAACTCACCCGAGCTTCAATCCTCTCGTCGATAGTCTTGTAGATCTTTTGGAAGAGAGCAGGAACTTTACTTTTCCTCAGAGGAGCCGCAGCAATGAAGAGCTTTCTGAAAAGAAGGCTCTGGAAGAAACAGGAAAATTAAAACTACTTAGCGAAATAATAGTGAAAAAATTTAGGGCTTCTATCGTGAACGCGTGTTACCTTAACGGAATCCGAAGGCAGGGAACTAGGGCAGCTAGGTAGAATACCGGTCGACGGAGATTAGTTCGAAATATCTGTGAAGGTTGGAGTATCAGAAACTAGTGATAAATCATGAACAATGAGTCAGAATATTTTTAGGCTGGCAGTAAGGCTCATTCGAGTTGGGTCTATTCTCTGATGGGACCAAGACTACGTTTTGACTTGCGCTTTGAAAATTTTGTTTTACCCTACTCAAATGGCTCAAACTTCGATATCTAAGCGCCATCTTAAGTACGAGATCTCAGACAAGATGTCAGAAGAGGTTGAAGGGGTAGGGGGGAGGGCGAGGCAAAGTCTAGTCCACCATTACAGTCTTGTTCGCTGCGAATGCTGGGTTTGTCAGGGTTGGGCTTGGCGCGCGTGGCGCAAACTTGTTCGCCACCGATTTTCAATCAGGCAAACGACAACATTGGCGTGAAATGGACTGGCGCCACACCAAATCCAATTCGCCTGACAAGCTCCTGGACAACTGCAGCGAGGAAAGCTCTAGGACAGTGTATCCGCGGATTTGTCATCAAATCCAGCCATTTAGCGCTGCGACTCGATTTGTCGGACGGCTACTGCGGCTGCGTTCGCGCTTATAGCCTTAGAGAACGGTTGTAGTTGCTGCGTAATAACGCGCGTTGCTGGGCTGTTCAGCGCGTTCAGTCTGAACTCTGCCTTATCACTATCGCTTGTCAATTTGTGGTTACTCGTATCTGAAAATAGCCACTCACGGAGTCCACCGCAGCGACTTTTTCCTTATCAGTGAACATCTCCGATTCGCGTTGTCCCATAGCAATACGGTAGATCACATCCAAGGTGAACTCTTTGTAGAAGCTGAATATGGCCCATATCAAGGCAGTTTTGTACAAAAAGTGCTTTGGGAAACTTAATCACATACGGAACGACGTCAAAGGCCTTCATATTTGCTTCCTTCTCGAAAAAGTCCATGAGAGCCAGAACGGAGCTTTCGATTGTTGGTCGAATCTGAAATCATTGAGACAGAAGTCCACAATAAACAAGTATTGATTGGAGCTGAGATTCCTGACTGAAAAGCGCAACGGTAATCATAGCTTCTTCCAGTGGAGTTCTGATATTTCTACAGCGTGACCTGCTAAACGACTAAAAGGGTGTCAGAAACTGAAAACAGGATGTCGAGATGGAAAGCTAGGCTATAGCAGAGCAGCGTTCTCTTACCAAGCTTTCGAGGAGGGTACTCGACCCACCCACTTCTGGATTTTGGTGTTGTATATTGACGATAGTGCAAGCAGGGACCTCAGTCCGGCGGGGGTCTACGGACAACTTGAACTCAATTCCTTTGAACGCGTCGAATTTGTGTTTTTCTCTGCTCTCTCTCCGCGTGGCACTCTATGGTCATTGTGACTTCGCACATTCCAGCTTTCACGTATGACAAGTGGCTCACCCATATCCTTT